TCTCCGTGCCCTCATCCAGGTCACTGATGAACAAAGTGAACAGCTCCAGGCCCAGTGCTGATTCCTGGGGGACACTGCTGGCCAGAGGCCTCCGACTGGACTCTGCTCCATTTATCACCACCCTCTGGGCTCTGCCATCCAGCCAGTTCTCAATCCCCCTCACTGTGCCCTCCGCACTCCTGCTCTCCCTGAGGCGCAACTGGCTGCGAGAGCGGCCACTGACACGAGTCAGGCTGGGACCGAGCCGAGCAGGAAAGCCAAGTTCCCCTGGAAAGATGGAGGGAAGCGGTCACTGGTTACACACACAGCTTTATTTCCTAAAACTGGTGTTCAGAGGCCACTCTTGACAACGGCAAGACCTGAGTAACTAGAGGCATGGGGTTTGAAATAGGTCAGGCAGATTGCCAGAATCGCTCGCTGTTCTCAGAAGTAAATAACATCTGCTGAATTTAGGCATTCACAGTCTGTTTCCTCCCGCTTCCTCTGTGGTTTATTCTGCCTGCAAATCCTAACTTGCAACCTGCACATTTCCTCACTAGCAATTAAAGGGGAGCATTCCTGATGGACATTTGGCATCCAGCTCATGAGAGGGTTTCCTCTCACCACAAGCCGAAGAGGAGTCAATATCTGGCCCAGTAGCATGGGCATTTCTAGGTCCCATGTCTGCATTTTTCAAGTACAAAATAATGCAAAGCACAAGCAATGACATTTCACTCTTTGGCTCCTGCAGTGGACCACAGAGTGCTCATTTAGACTCCACCAGAGCTGCTGGAACCTGGATAGCAGGAAATGTTTCCTCAGGACATACGTGTGTCGCAAGAAGACGAACGCACGCTTGATCCATTCTGGTAACAGAGCTCCCAATTTCCGCAGGCAGCTTTAAGCCTCCGCTGCCCAAGACCTCAAACAGAACGCGCGACTGTTGGGCGGCCTGGGCTGCTCTGTGCGTGCGGGCTGCCTGCTGCCCTCTCGCGGGAGCCCCGCGGACGCTGCCCCCGCGGCCTCGGGGCCGCTGAGCAGCAGCGGTGGCGGCCAGCGGCGCCGGAGCAGCCGCCTCGCGCTCTTGTGCTCGCACGGAGCCTGCGACGCGGGGTCCCGAGGGCTGCAGCGCTGCCCCCCGCTCACCCCATCCGTGCCACGTGGGGCTCGGGGCCTGCGCACTAGCCCACGGGGACAGCACCGCCCGCAGCGCTGAGCAGGCCGCTTCCTTCTCCCACTGCTGAATGAAGCTGCTGTTCTCGGCATGGATAAGCCTTTTCAGGGGGTTGTTTTTGTAAGTTTATGGAGAGAGTTAGCACCTAGAGGCGCAGGGGCGCAATGCTGGGCTGCACAAGCTAGCAGGGCCTCCTGAGCACTTCCCTGCTGGTCTTTTTTCCCCACTACCTGGTACCACTCTGCCTCTCCACACAACCCTTCACACCGGCACCGCATCAGGACAAGCAAACTAGGGGGCTATCCAAATCTCTATGTAGGTTGGGGCCATACAACAGCTTGTTTTCTGAACAGACGGATGTTGAAATGCCAGATTTTTGGAACATCTTTTAAATTTCCATATTAAGCCCCAGAAGAACCATAATCCCATCTCCCTGGGTACTCCCAGGCTACTATCTATGTCCTGCCTCTTTACACAAAGCTGCTCTGGATTTTGCCCTGAGCAAGGACCACTCCCATCATACACACAGATGTGTGTGTGTCTGTGTATGTATTTCACATCTCTATCCTTTTCCAGCTCCTGAACTTAATCCCAGCCAGAGATTCTCCAGTCCGCTTGGAAACTCATGCTCCTGCCCACACTTTGTGTTCTGCACCATTCCTTCTAGTGCAACACGTGGGAAGGCAGGCACGGAAAACACACTCCAACTATGGCTGCTTTACAGGATCCAGGGCACAGGGGATAAAGCTGTTACTCTAAGCACAAGCAAGCATAAGCCTAGTTTGGTGGGTATACTTTTTATGGATGTTTATAGGGACCTAGGCACGACACAAAGCACTTCAACTACCAAACTACCAACACACTTGTGTCTCGAGTGATTGCTTCAGGGCACTTCAGGGTTTCCAGTACAACTCTTTCTCCCTTGAAGCCAAGAAACGCTCATTTCCTGATCCTCATAATGCTCACAGATGGGAAATTTCAGAGCAGGTTATTAAAATCCAGGTTTGTAAGTCTACAGTGCCTATTGATGCAAACCTCCTATTGAGAAAAAGCAGGTTGCAGTTCTGTTGTCAAATTTAGTATTTGCCTGCATGAGGGAATTTCTTCAATGAATTCTGTATTTATACACACATTTCACTGTGGAAAAAAGATTTTAAGGCCTTTTTTCCCCGTTTATTTTTTTTCATGTGTGCTAAATGGGCTTTGCTACATGGACCTCAGCAAACTTTATTACTATTCAAAATGCGTTTAATCAGAGCAACAGCTGCAGTAACAGATATGTATTTAAACAGCAAAGTTTCTTCCTTTTTAAATTATCTTATTAAACGCCCTTTAAGTGTTAAAAGCAAACAGTAACATGCAGAAAGTCATATACAGCTTCTATGGACTTCGAGAGAACTGAACTGCCTGACCTGAGGATGGAACCTGTCCCCTGAACACTCCTCAACTCCTTCTGCTTCTCTCCATGTGGGTGCACTGTTTTCATCACTGCTCAGGGGCCTTTCACACTGGTGAGCACGATACATGTTGTGGAAAGCAGAGCTCCACGCTACAGGCTGAAAGTCTGCCCTGCAAGCGAAAGGATTCAGCTTCAGCAATGCTTAGAAACAAACCTGCTTGCACCATGCCTGGATTTGACTCTCGAGTTAAGTACTTACGTGTGCAAGGCTGCTGCTGGAAGAGACAGGCAAGGAGCAGCATTAAAGGGAACACAGGAGGTATTATGCACATTTCAGCTGTGACAGGGTTCATATTCAGCATCTATTACATTGACTGTCATCTACAGATGTGATAAGCATTTACACTTCTAATTTATTTAATCCAGAAATATCTCACTATCCTTGCAGTCTGTTCCCAAGGATTACTGTAATACCATTCCTTCCTGCTTACTCACATTGGACCTGTTCTGATATCTTATACTTAAATAAGCCACAGATTCTGCTCTCTGTTTTCTTCTACTACTTAATCCCGTTATGCAAACATCAAAAGGTCCCAAGCAGGTTTTTGCCCCCAGTTTTCCAGCAATTTACAAGATACTGTAAATTGATATTCCTTGTTCTAGAGGGTGCCCTGCAGCCTAGCACATGGCAGCACTCACAGTTTCAGGGAGAATATCTGAATGACACAGTTTGCAGCTGCCACTACCCTGCAGTCATTACACCCTTGCACAATTTCTGAAGTCCTGTCTGGCATTTGCTTTGCTGTCTTTTCATACTGACCAGAGTCAGCTAACAGCTGGATGACACCGCTGCCTCTTCCAGAGGTGCTCCAAGAGAATCTGGGCTACATTCATTTTAATACAAATCAGTTTCTGTTACTGTGACCAAAACAAGCTGAGGGCCATTCAGAAAGTAATAAAGTATTTCACAGTTATTTGAGGTCTTTCATTTTGTCTTATAACCTGTCAAGCTTGTCCATGTCGAAATCATTTTCAGCATAATTAATAGATTAACTAATAAAGATACTGTTGGTCTTACATTAGCCAGAAATACGTGCATCGCTAAATATACAAAAAAAAAAGGATTTGTGCCATGGCTGTATAGATGCAGGCTAACAGTATATTACATATAACAAAATATCATGGCAAGCAGATGTTTCCATGATGTGAGGCATCTCGTAGCCGCAGGCGCGCGGGCGGCCTCGCTGGGAGCTCAGCGCAGCGGCACCTTCGCCGCCGGCCTCGCAGCCCTGGGCCAGGGGCAGCAGCGGGCCCGAGCAGCAGCCCCAGCACAGCCAGCCCGACACGCTGCTGCTCTCGGCCGCAGCACAAGCCGTTCCTCTCCTCAGCCAGCCCGTGGCAGCACCACGGCAAGCCCAGCGCCCCAGCACGTGTCTCAAGAGGGTCTCCTGCCCAGCGGGGGCCTGAGGGCTGCCCTCCTGCACGACAAGCTGCAGTGTCTTGCACGCTGCAGGACAAGGCTCCCATAATGTGACACCGCAGCAAGGCTGCTTTTGGCAGCACTCATTTGCTCCCAGCAATACATGGAATGGACTCGGACCCTGGTTCCAGGTGGGTGTTTTATCTATAGTACTGCAAATGAGGTATTAATCACAGACAGCAGTTAAATACCACATGCCAGTGCAATGAAACCCTATTGAATAGTCTGAATATTGCCCTATTCAGAAAGGAAAAGGTTGCAAGCCAAAGCGAGCAGGTTTGAGGTCCTCTCCCTTCCAGACAGGAGGTCCAGAGAGAACATCCCACTGCAGAAACAGTTTGCAGGGCTGGAGGTCAGCAATGTAACATAAGTGGTCAGAAAAGCACCCAGATAACAAAAACATTTTGTTCAATGTATTTGTCCCTACAGACCCTTCCAGAACAACCTTCTCTCATGTAAGAAAGGCAACTGAAGAAAGACCCAGGCTCAGGGAACTGCTGTTTGCCCCAGACTTGCTCTGTGACCTCAGTCTGTTTGAGGAGTATCTTCGCCCATGCACTCCTCTCCAGCAAGCTGCTCACGCAGTATAAAGAATATGAAGACTGGGGCCCATTTAAGAACTTTATACAGATTTAAACCATGATGTACAGGAGCATAATCTGCATGCAAAGCCTCCATGTAAACTGGGGTTTATGACTTCAACTGTAGGTGCTCAGAAGACAGAGCTTTACACCATTTTGAAGAGGCAATGCCTCATTCTGATCCAGGCCCATGTACAGGGAAAGAGCACTGGGACTTTGCAAAGGATCTGCTCCATTGCAGCGCCCAGTCAGGTCAAAACGGAAGAAACCAGTGGGTCAGGGTCTGTTTTCCATTATTGTAGCACCCAACTTTCCTCATTTAAACCAATGCATCAGCAGCGTGGATATGGAGAAACACAACATAACCCAGATCTAGAGCATTCAAGCTAATATTCAACAATTTACTTATTCCTCCATATGCCGTATACAACACAGGGGCAAATGACCTCTTGTGCAGTTCCGGGACTCACTGGTTTAGATTAAAACCATTTCAATCTTAGCTCTGAATTTTCTGAACAATAAAAGTTAACAGATATCAATCTTGTCCTCTCTTTCAGTGAGGCTGAAAGTGAACCTGGCTTTGATGAGGTACTGCACATTTATGCACAGTACTCACTACTTGGCCAGTCTGTCCTCGGTAGCTTTTAGACTTACTGATGAAGCACCAGAGCTCTACAAACTTCTGCTCGTACCATCCCATTACAGAAACTATGGGCAGTCTCTAATATGCACACCCATGAGGTATCATAGGCACCCAAAAGGTATCATCTGGAAAGGAATCAAAATCCTGGTCATGAAAATATTTATATTAACTGAGAAAGCCAAACTCTGCCAAGAACAGAACTGAGTGGCAAGCTTTCCCAGAGTTTCTCCACACCACTGAGCAAAACAGAAAGCAGTCCCACCTACTACAACCTCTCTGTGCATGCCCAGGGCCAGTTAATACTTTAAGTACAGCACCAACTACTTGTAAGGCCTCAAAAATCTGGAAACTTTAGAGCGCAGCAGTCGTATGAAGGATCTGGGGAACATCTCTCTTGATTCTTGGGCTGTGTACTTGAAGTAGTTTTGTGGATGCGCCAACACATCAAACAGCGCTTTTATCAGCTTCTTATCCTAGAAAAAGGAAAACAGATTTTCCAGTCATACCATAGAAAAGGTGGAATATCAACAAAGTTTAATGACCAGTCCACTCAGATTATAAGAATTTTATTTTTCAAGTACCAATGTTTCAGAGGCTCTCAGATCTGTACAGTGAGAAAGACATTCAGTTCTCACAAAGTCAGTTGTCACACTGAGCATTAGTGGTGCCAGGGCTCTCTCCTTCCTCTTACCTTCGAGAGCAGCAAAACTCCAAAAACTGGGGCTAACATCCAGTGAAGGAAAGACAGCTTGGACTGGCATCCCATAACTTGTCCATGCAACTGTCTCCTAACCCAGTGAAGGGAAGTCCTTGCTAATCCACAGGCTATAGTAGCAGCAGCACTAAACTCTACACAATGAAATGAAATCCCATGTCCTTCAGTTTCTTCACCGATCCTTTCCTACATAGACTACACGAGACCTAAGTCCTTACTATAAATGACTACATACATTCCTAGTAGGTCTGACCCACCTTTAATCTCCCTAGACAAAGGGCTATTAATGATTGCCCTGCACAAGCGGAGCACATGCAACTTGTCTACTGCACTAAGGGGCAAATCCATCACCATGCAGGACACAACCTCATTGGCAAAAACTAGGGTCATTCACAGTCAAACGCAACATTTTAAGTGGAAGAAATTTACCTTAAGTATTTCTTGATGATTTTCAGATGCATAAAGTCTACCATCCCGAACAATATCTTCTATTAGCTCTTGATAATCCTCTATTAAGAATGCACAAGACAGTCACTTGCAGGTTCATTTCAGTTACGCATTCAATATGGTTAAATATGTAAATTCTACCCCCACCAGAATCAGTGCTACTCAGCTCTCATTAGCAGTTGGAAAGTATTTCAATTGCACTTTATTTACAGAAGAGCCAACACTTAACTATGAGGCTATCAAGTGTTTTCTGCTGAGCATCATCAGTTGTCAAAAGCAAAGGAAACCATAAGGCATCTAAGATTGTAATACATACTGTAATCATGTGACCTGCTTCAATCCAACACCACTAACAAAAAAATCTGGAGCTTTCCTATCTTTTTTTCAATATGGGAGGGAACGGGTTCTGAGTTTAGAAGGATAAATCACAAAATGATTGAGGTTGAAGGGACTTCTGGAGATGAACTTGTACAAGCTCTGTCCCACACAAGCAGGGTCACCGAGAGCACATTGTACAGGACCACATCTGGGAGGGTTTTTAATACCTCCAGAGAAGGAAACTCCACAGCCTCTCTGGGCAGCCTGTTTCAGGGCTCTGCCACCTTCAGGGTAAACTTGGGGTTTACCCCAAGGGTAAACTATCCTCATATTCAGATAGAACTTCCCATATTCCAGTTTGTGCCTGTTGCCTCTTGCCCTATTACCGGCCACTACTGAAAATAATCTGGCCTCATCCTCTTGACAGTCTTCCTTAATATATTGGCATACACTGGAAAGATTCCCCTGTTAACCGTTCCTTATAAGAGAAATGCTCTAGCGCCCTACTCAGGGCTTGCTCCAGTAGCTGTGTCTTTCTTGTACTGGGGAGCCCAAAACCAGATCAATGCCTCTGTTCTCTGCAGCACAGAGTTACCCACAACAATCATTTGCCGTCTCTCCTGGGTGTTTTGACATGTTGGTAAAACGGTCTGTTGGGCCAGCTGCTTCTCTTGAAGCCATGCCCAGAGCCTCCTCAACCTAAAGGAGGCTGAACTTGCTCCGCAACTGCAAGTCTTCATGAAGAAAAGCCTTTCTGTTTCTGTGAGAAGTGAACAGTTTCCAGCCTTCTTCTACAGTGTTAGAATGTAGCATTTCACACAGTTCAGAGCCCTCCAGCAACTCCACTGCTGCAAGGTGGTTGCAACTTCTGGAGCTGTATGGTCTCTGTGAATACCCTGCCTCCTGGTCATCTTCACAGATGCTGCACAGCCTACTGCAACTCCTCACCCTGATGACACATCTTGTCACCAGCAGCACACCTTCTGCATGAGGGCTGACTGCCAGCCCCAAGCGCTTTGGCAGCCCCACATCTGTAGAGGGGAGCTCCAAACACTCCCCACTGCAAAGTCGTGTGGGCAAGCACCTCGAGGAGCCTGAGCTGAAAGGAGTACCTGCTGCCAGAAGACACCTGGTAGGAGCAACACAACGATCACGGCAGCACTTACGTATGCACCCTAACTAGGGACACTGTGCCCCTGAAGCTATCTGGAATTAGGAAGGCTTAAAAAGACATAAAACACATCCAGGCTGCGAGTTCTGCACTTTGCTTTTACGAGCTGCAGCCCAGAATCCCAGCTCTTGTTCAAGTCTGTGAAAGACTGGAAATACGATTACGCTTAACACTATGGCACAATTCAGAGACTCTTAACCTAGTTTTAAACGAAGAGAGCTACTGGAAGCAGTCTAGTAATGACACTAGCAAGAGGGCTGAATTATCCCTTCTTAGCGGGGTCAAGCAGCCCACAAGGAGTTATGCGCTGCAGCAGCTGCACTAGTCCACGCCACGCTCAGCTGTTCACATCCACCTACCATCGTATGTTACGTAGGGAACTTGGAATCCTTTGGCACTGTTCCCTTCATTTGACTTGAACTGGATCCACAGCTTCTTAGACCTTGATGTGAAAGCTATAGGACGTTCATAGGTTTGACAGGTTTCATATGTGGTCACAGAATTGGAAGACGCTTTCAAAGAAAACACAAAATCGCCAGTTATCTGACAAAATTTCACAGTTATTGGCAATTAAAAAACAAAAAAGCAAACAAAGAACAAATGCCAAGTCAAGAAATGCATTCATCTTGATAGACAGATACCATCCGCTTCAGGATATATTTCAGACTTACAACTCTTGCGCATCACCAGGTAGTCTCCACATTCATCTTCTATTGGCAGAAATATTTCTGGCACCACAATCAGAATACGGCGCTTTGGCGGTGGGTTAATATTCCAAGTACACTCGGCGTTTGCAGGATAGTTCCCTGGATAGTTTGGGGACTCAATATATCCAGTGTAATCTCCCAGTTCCCCTCCACACTGCCTGTCTGAAAAAGCAGGAGAGCATGAAGCACCAGGCAGAGCAAGATCTTCCGGCAGCGCCCTGTACAGTCGCTGGGTAACAGGCACACTCACTTTGCTGTCTGCATCTAATGCAGCTAAAGCTTCTTTGCCAACTTCACACTATTGCTTGCTTCTGCCTTGATGGATTAATTAGCATGGAGAAATACAGGTTCATCTCTGCTAACGTACAAGAGTTGCTAGTGACCAACCCACAGCCAAACAGCAAGACAGCTGTAAGAGGACATGAAAATGGTCAGGTGAGGATGCTTCACTTGCTCATACCAGACAGGGAACTATGTCAGTATTCAGAGTCTAACTGGAAGCTGCTCTGTGCAGATGCCACGTCTGCAGCAGCACCGACAGGGAAGAGCACAGGCCTTCCCTCTGCACAGGTCAGCACCCCGGCAGGGCTACAGTGCCGTAACCTTCAATAAGGGGTAAGGCCCCAGGCAGGTGCTTTGGCCAAACTGCCCAGCTTGGCATGATCCCAGCAGGCTGGGTACTGCAGAACCATAACGTGGATGTGCAAGAGCAACATGCCCAGGGAGAAGAGCTTCTGAGCGAGGCACATGTAGTTCCAGGAACAGGCTTATAGATATATGTATGTATACATATATTAGGTGTTTACACAAGGAACTCCAGAGGTTTTTCTGAGAAGTCTCCTCTCTCGTCTCTGTTTTCTCTTCTTTAGTTTACCCTCGACTTTCCAAACTACAGCTACGATAACCTAGAACAGCGGCTCTCTTTGCAAATGCTCCTTTCAGAGGTTTTTATTAAGGAAAAAAAATGCTTACTAGAGCCAAGGTGACTTTTTGAGCCAACTTCCATTCCTTTCGATAGAAGAAAAGGAAATCATGATGCTGAGGAACACAAACTCACTCTGCTTTATCACAGGAGAAAAGATTCAATAGCAAAACCCAGAATGACCCAACAGTCAGTGGCAAGACGAGGCATCACTTGCCTCGAGAAGAGTGGTAGAACTGGTCTGCAGAGGTAGTCTCCCATGGACCTCAGTAAGTCACTCTGGATGAGACGCAGGTAGGCAGCAAGAGGGGCAACACCACTGCCTTCTCTTCAACCTTCCTGCTAAAGCTCAATTGTGCCCTTACAGTCAACCTGAACATTTATGACCCAGCCTTTTCACTTGTAAGAGATTGTCAAAGCATCTTGCTATACTTACTTTTGCATTGTGTTACATTAGTTGACCCATCAAAGTCAGTAGTAGTGTTTCCAGGGCATGAAATACAGTAATTTTGTCCAAACTCAGGCTGATATGTCCCAACTACGCAGCGAATACACCGATGAGTTGTAGTATTATAAAAATGACCAGGTGAACACTGAACTGGAAGGTATTTAAAAAGGCAGAATGGTTTTAAAATAAGACAGCAGCACATTAGAATTCATTTTTTACACATTTTTATAGGGCATATTCTAATTTCAGTGTTTGTGCTATACCCATGAACTATAAAGGTCATAAAATGAATTAAATTTCCATATTTCAGTTCACAAAATCACTTTGCCCAAGTTCAAAAAAATCCCATTTGTAGTATTATAGACCAGTGTGCAGAAGATGGAGTGAGGAGGTCCAGCATGATTTTGTTATGAGGACATTCTTACATGCTATTATTTTTATTTCTATTACTTACTCTCATATGCTATTACTTTATTTCATCACATCACTCACATTACCAGAAGACACAAGCTATAGCCCTCACAGGGAGTTCCTGAGGGTACCTGCTGCATTACCAAAGCCAACCCCTACCCTAACATACAAAATCTTTCATAACTAACATATTCTATGGGAGATGCAGACATGAGACATGCAAACACAAGAAGGGAGAAAAAAAAATCTTTCTAGCAGACCAGCATCTTCTTATTCCATTTTTTTCAATGCAGACAGGAAGATTTTCTTCTCCCAATTCAATCTGAGAACACGAGATTTCCAATGGCTTTGCTTACATCTCTAATATAATTGTTTTAATTTGATTTTGCTTAGCTATCCTGCATGCCCATCACCTGTACTGAAACCTGACAGAAAGCAGGCAACAGCATGGGCCATAGATTATCTTAGCTCTTAACTCCCCCTGGCCTCTCCCTTTGCCGTTTTAGTTCGTGGTACTGAAGATATTTTCCGATTCCTTTCATCTCACTTGGCAAGTTTACCTCTCTCAGCTTGACTTGAAAAATAATTCACTACCTGCCCTTTCAAATGCAGTTTTCTGTGCTGCACAGTCTCTTTTTGTGTTCCTTTTAATCTTTGCTTGCTCCCAAACAATCTTTTTCTTGATGAGGCTTTTGATTCAGCTAACTCATTCTGCAGTGCTTCTCTACACAATTTTTTTTTCCTCTCCTCCAAATGTTTCAGATATAAGTTCCAAGAAATTTTTGCACCTGTGATTTAAACAGATTCAGTGTCTCATGTGGCCTTTCATACACACAAGGCCCTGAGCCATTCATTCCAGATGATATAAAAATCTCAATTTTAATTCAAAAACTGAGCCTCATTTACAGACTCTTTTTTAACCTGTTGTGTTAAATAAATCTGAAATCAGTTCCTCTTATCTTGATCAGAGTTTGTTTTGCTAATTTTTAAATGTTCTTACTTTGCAAAATTGAGTATGAAGTAGCAGTGTTTGTGGATTCAGTATTTCTTCACTGAAGAAATCTGTTAACTATCACACTATTACCAGAAGTATTAGCTCTTCAATCAAACTGCAAGATTCTTCCATTACGTTGCAAATTCCCAGTGTTCTCAACAGCATACACATCTTAAATGATGCTCAAGAATTCTGTGTGGCTAAATTAGCAAAAAAAATCTGCATCAGGAGCTTATTTCTACTCTATACGAATAGATTTTCTATTACCACTTTTTATTCGTTGTGATTTTGATAGAAGTGATAGGCTCTTATTCATGCCTTAAGACAGCAGGCAATTGCAGCAATTTCTTCTCTCTCTCTCTATGCATGTGAGTTTTATTGGTGTTTTCAAAGACAAATTTAGCTGGTTTAGGTAGCTTTTTTTTTTTTAAGATTTTAGATAACTCAAATGTTCACAAGATCTTCCATTCTAAAAGATACAATCCCACCTGTTTTTCACTTTTATGAGCCAAACTTTGGGGACAAATTGCATGACAGTCTATTATGGTCGAGTTCATAGGAGATCTGTGAGTTACTGCACTATTGAGTTGAATTTTGGCTTTTCAAATATCTCCCAAGGCATCCAGGCCAGTTTCATTAAGAATATGAAGAAATCATTTTCTTATTTATCCTCTAGGTCCGCAATTTCCTCCTCCACATTTTGAAGCAGGCTGCTGTGCTCAGAATTAAAATGTCACAGAATTATTGGTTTTCCCCCCAAGACTTTTCTCCTCCAGAATTCCCTTCTCTAACTCAGATCGATGACTTCACTAGGCAGCTTCCTCCCACTTCCCAGTGCCTCCTTGAGTCTCACATAACAATCAGTTGAGGCTCCATCGAGTTTCTGTGCAGCCAGGCACTGATTGGCAGGAAAGATCCTTGAAAGAGGGACCCTTCCTGCAACACCCATTGGAAGCCAAAGCTGCAGCTTTGCCTCACAGCAGTGCAGCTCCTGGTGCCTTGCTCTTACCTTTGGTCTCACAGTCCTGAAACAGGGATGCGCCACTGTACCGGGTGGTCAGCCCTCCTCCGCAGGGAGAGCAGGACACCCGCCCGGCCTCCGGCTGGTACGTTCCAACGGGGCACGGCAGACAGGGCTTGAAGCCATCAAGGGAGTGCTCGCCTGGAGAGCACTGATCTGCAGGAGGAAGGACACACTTGCCTCAGATTGTGGCTTAGTGGTGGAGGGAGCCTGCCCGGGGCCCTCAACTCCCCCAGGGAAGGGCAGGCCCAGGGCTGAGAACCCAGTGCAGGCAACTCGTAGCACTGGGTGCACACGCTGCACCCTGTCACACTGAAATGGACATTGGCAGCTTCTGGTGCTGCCCAGTTCCTCTGTGAGCTGCCAGGCATCTTATGCAAGGCTGCCGCAGGTGCGTCCAGCAATCTCTGCTCACCTGTATGGTGTGATCACATAGTCACTCACTGTTGCCTCTTTCCAGCTAAAGAGTCCTTGGACACCCCCAGATTTCAACTATCAACACGGAAACTGAGGTGCCAAAAACATGCTTAGAGTTTTCTAAAAGCATTTTTAATCTTAATGATTGTTAGAATGGCCTAAACATTGATGTTGCCAAATTACATGAAAACCTCAAGCACAGTAATTTTGTGCAACCTTACAAACCTAAACGGAATGCACTCTTCAGTAACTAGGGAAACTCTCCTGCCATTCCTCTGGTTCTGGGTCTCAGGTATCATTATCTGCGCTCTGAATTGCCATTTTCTGTATGGTACATAGACACCTTTAACCTAATTAGATTGAATTTATTTAAACTGATATTATGTAAGAAATCCAGGAATATTTATGGGAACCACAAAAAAAAAAAGTTTTTCGAACTTTCCACAAAACAACTAATTTCCATGCCAGTACTTAGTAACTGCCCTGCTTTGGAAGGCACAAAATACTGCTGCAGTTCAGCTGCACTGAAAAAAACTTTCCTTTTAAAGAGCTGTTACAATAATAAACTGTTAGTTTAAGTTTATAGCTCCACTAAATCACTCACTGAATAGCTGTTTTGTTAGGAAGTTAAATTGGCCTTGGCTTCATTTCAGGATATACGACTAACAACAAGCCTGGCATTAACTACCGGTCATGATCAATGATGAAGAATTTAGTTTATGGCTGATACACTAGGTGGAATAGTGAGCACTCCTCTTCAGCTTAAAAATAAAGCAGAGCAGGTTAAGCAGTGCTCTGTAGCTCATCAGCGAAAGCTGGCGGGGAAGGAGACCCTCTTGGTTCTGATTTGTCCACCACGTATCACTTCTGCTCTCATAAGGAAACACATTCATTTGCTCCCAAGCTTTTCAAGTCTTTCTTATGTTATAAACATTCCTACAGAACACTCATCTCTGTACTCTCTGTACAGCTCAACATGAATGAATTACAGCTTTCATTGCAACCCTTCTAACAAGGCAAGGAGAGAGCACTATTTTCATTTCCATGACAAGAAAAGACATCAAGGTAAGTAAAGGTGATTCTGAGAGGTGCCTACTGACTTGAGGCACTCAGAGTTAATGAGAAGTCCAGTGCAAGTCTATTTCTCCCCAAACACTTTGTGCCTATTTGGCCAAGGCAAACTGAGAGGCCTCACTAGAGGCTGCCTGTCCTCTGCTCCCTGCTCGTGACCTGCCTCCCTTCTAATCACACATCCACATTTGGAACTTTTGGTGCCTCCTTCTTAAACAAAAGAGGAAACAAAACAAAACAAGCCACAGCATGTAACTTCACAGTGACACATGTAAAAACACAAATACGACCTTAAATTGTAATTTTGGTTAAACTACCATCATTTTTTTCTAAATATGAAAATTACTCAAAGTGATGCCTAAGCCTGAATGCTTTAGGCTCTTAAATTGACCACTTTTTCTACGTGACTACAAAAAGACAAGCTTTTTAAGTGGAACAAGTGTCCGGACAGTTTCATCTGCAAACATGTTTCCTGTGGATTGCTCCTAATTCCTCCCCATCTTCAATTCAGAGATCTTCCAAACAGCTCCTATAAACCCACTCCAGCACAAAGCAGAGGTGTTGAGGAAGGCAGGTTTCAGAAACTCACTGCACTTACCAGGGCCCAATTTACCATAACAAACAGATCTAATTGACATTAGGCTCAATTACAGCAGCATTCATTACAGAGACAGTACATGAACACAGAAATCATCCCACGGAAATCCATACAATTGTGAATGGAATTAGGATGACACAAATGAGTCTCCTCTTAAGAAAACAAAACAAAACAAAAAAGAACCCTCATCCAAGGCAGACTAAATTCCTTTCAGGGCATTTGTTTAAATGAAGCTACAAAGTTTACAAGCCTCATCTCACAAAACCAGAAACTGCACAGTCCCTTCTGATACATGGGAGATGCCCACTCCAAAACAAAGGCTAAAGTCTTGCAAACAGCAGCATTAAATCGGAGTGCTACTGGCTGGCTTTGCTCTTTTTCATCAACCTGGTTGTTTTGCTGCACATGAACAAAAGAGCCAATTGCCTTCAGTAGACTTCATTTCTGCAGCCACTGGCTTTGTCTGTCTTCAATGCCCATTAAAACCCTGGTCTTGAATCTCATGCAGCTGTTTTAGGAGAAAAAAATATATATATGTGAAAGCTTTTCTGATGCAAAAACATGAAAGAAAAGAAAGGGGGAAAAAAAAGAATGAAGGAGGCCCACAGGGAATCAGGATTAATAGTTACAAAGACATTTAAAGGCTCTTCCCCTCTTTTCAACACATTAGCCTTTGAGCATTTGCTCCTATAGACAAATGCTGTAGTACTCAGTGGCTAAGAAGGTGAACCTCAAAGGAGGTCATGATCCACCATCTCACCATTTTCTTAAGAACCATGCCTAACTTTATAAGCAAAAACACAAACAATTGATGCAAACTGATGCTGAAACAGCATCCTTGAAGCTATTGGGTTTTTAGCAGTACACGCACTTCAGTCACATGAGACAGTGATGTATCTTAAGGATTTGTCTGAAATCTCTGATTGTGAGGGCAAGCAGAGGGTTAGCAGGCAGAATAGCCATGTTTCCGCTATTTTATAATACACTGGCTGTACACAAGCACTTGACATATTCAGAAAGATGAGCTACCTTGGAAATGATGCCTAACCTGTTTCTGGTGCGTCTGGAGCTTTTATTCTGCATTTTGTGCCACTGTGGACAGTAACAGTTAAAGTCAAGAAAACTGGGAAACCAAATGTAGTTTAGCTTAGTGCTGCAACTGCAGGCTGGTTACCTAAGAAAAAAAGCTGCTAGAGCAGGCACTGTGCTTTCCTTCTTACACAGATGCATGTAATGTTTCAGACAGTGCTCTGCCAAGAGGAATCTGTCACAGGAAGAGCACCAGGACAGGGCCTGTCTGAATCAATAAAGTTATATCTAATCTTACATCCAAGTAGTTTGTTTTAAAATACACATATTAAAAAAAAAAAAAGAAAGAAAAGAACTGAGTCTGGTACTCTCACTATCTGCATCATAGATGATTTGCAAGACCTTAAACTTACTTTGCTCCCTCTCTCCTCCCTCAGACAGGACTAGGCAAAATCCTTTTCCAAAGTTCTCCACCTGTCCTGAGATCACATCCACCAATCACAGGAAATCCATCTGCTGACCTGATACTTCATGTTATAGTGTCATCTTCTCCCTAGAATCATTACCATGCCTATATAAACAGAGAGTCAATCCTCTCCAGTTGTCAGCAGCTATGCAAAACAGTCAGATTCAACAAACAAATCTACTCTCCCACCCATTTGTAGCTTCTTCCTCCTACTCTATGTCCATTCTGTTCTCCTCTGTCCACTGTATTTTTTAGCTACTTCTGTCTGGCAGTGCGAGCAGCAGCTACCACCTCATGCTGCCTTTATCACACCGTTGGGAGAGGTTTTCAGAGAAAATGCTGTTTACGGAATGACGCTGCCTGCGAGTGCTTTATGGCTCCTCCTTTTCCTCCTTGAACTTCCAGCAATTTGACAAAGACAGCAGAGAGGTTTAAAAGATAGTACGTTTCTATAAATTTCATCAAAACGTGTGTGGAAGATGCAAATGAAGGACAGAGAATCTCATAGTGTCCAAGGAAGAAAAAGGCTGAAGTGGAAGTTTCATGCTCCCTTGATGCGAGGAGGATGTGGTTTTTGACAGAGGTTTCAAACATCACCAGCTAATTCTTCTGTTAAACAAATCCAAGTTTTTCAAGAATTATCAAAGCCAGACAGGAAAATCTATTCCAAGGCTGAATGGGTTGCTGCTGGAAGATGTGCTAATTCAGTCTGACAAGCATTTTAAAGGCTTGCTGATTCACTAAAGCACTTACATGCTGCATACCCTCTGCAGCCTGAATTAGCCGTCATGGCTGTTAGAGCCCTGTTCAGATAACATCTGACCCTTCTCCTTAACTTTTGTGCTTTGGAAGCATTCATCATGGGCTGCATTATGGCGGTGCCCTCCAGTGCCATGATAATTAACATTTGCTCAGTGCTGGCCTATAAAACCCTCTATTCTCCATGAATTTATAACTCTGTCAGGAAGGTTCTCTAGCACTTAAAGCTTAATCAACAAAGAGAATGCAACTAGCAAAACCTTCTCAGCCTTTTCTTTGGAACAAGGGAGACAGAAAATGCTCACAGGCCCAGAAACAGTGCTAAACGACATATTAAATGTGGTCTTTCATAAATGACATTGGTAATCCTAAGGCAATTGATGTCTGATGTTAAATCAAATTTTCTACTGTGGGCTGTGCATCACTTAGAAGAAACCACAAAGCACTGAGCTCTTGCTCTACTCTATAACACAGCAATTAGCAATAGTAAAGAAGATACAGAAGGACTATTATCAGCACAAACAACAATCCCTACAATTCCACACAGCCATCTTCCCTCCCAGACGAGCTTCCCACCATCCCTTCACACCCAGACCTGAGCAAAACAAGCAAAACAGATATGATGCTCTGTTCCTAATTTATGTTTACTCACCACATCTGTTACCCACATGCATCTGTCCCACACCACATGACTCCTGTGGCTCTGACAGCTTGAGAGCCTTTCTCGCCACTTCATGGTCCATCCCGGAGACGCGAACACGGAAGTGGTCCCTGCTGACCGTCTTCCGCAAGGTGCGGATGGTTTTACGGAACCTCTTTTCCGTCTTTTTTCGTGCGCAGCGCACATCGCACGTCTCTGAAAGGCATCACAGGTGAAAGCTACAATAACTGACCATGCACAAAAGTCCACCCAGCTGGAAAGACCTGCTAGAGCATATCACTGAGAAGGCAACTTCTGTGAACAAGTCTGACATCCTTAAGGACAACAGCAGCAGCTCACCAAAAAAAAAAAAAAAAAATTCAAACAACAAATCTTTCATATACGGACTTTGGTTTTAAAAACTACCACCATCCTTCACCCTTTTTGAAGTAGAAAAATTAGTTTTCAAAACAGGAGATACTTTTATTATCATTATTTTGCATAAAGATAGAAATGAAAATATTGAAATTAAAAAGCAAGCAGTAAGAAGCTTCAAACTGCACCTTGGATTATTTTCCAACCAACCTGTCACCTCCTTATGGCTTGTTTCAAGCTCAAAGTTCGCAGTGATAAAAATTTCTTTAGTCGCTGGCAGTCTACTGAAGGGTCCATGAACTTTCTTGCCAGAGCTGCATGTTAGGTTTACATAGTGGAAGCTCTCCATTACTGAATTATGTCTCTCTGTATGAACAAAATTAAAGGAAGCAAAAGCTTGGCCAGCTATATTATTGGACATTCACCAGTGCTCAAAGCATAATTTGTTTTAAAAATTTCAAGGGGAACAAAATGATTAACTCCAGATACCAGTAAACAAAAAATATGGACAGTTTCTTAACTGGCACATCCTCACAGAGGATCACTGCTAGGAACTGAGCTCAGCTGCAGTGCTCAGTCCTCTTCCCCTGGGTTTTGCTCAAAGGGTTCCAACGAGCTGCCTTGGCTCTGTGCAAAGCACCTTAAAAGCACGACGCTGCTTGCACCAAGGAGGCTACTAGAGGGGAAAACTTTTGCACTCAAATTAAGCATGTGAAAGACGTGTTGGCTTATAATGGTGTGTAAACTAAGCAGAGCTTCCACACACAGGACATTAGGAGACTACTGTCAAGGTCTGCATGAGGAAACAAGATTTAGCTAATGAAAGTATCCGAAATAAGCTTTGGGTTATTGCTCAAGAACACACTCTTGAGCATTTAGCATTATTCACCACTGCTACTCTTCTAAGGATAAAGCAACTGATGTGCTGACTCAACTTATTACTTAGTGTTTTTCTGTTTATTTAGGATGTTTGTTTGTTTGTTTTTGTTTTGTTTTTAACATGTGTGCTCCTCCTCATTTTCTGCTGACTTTGCAAGTTTCCAGACTAAACTTTCTGCCTTGAAACAGATGGAAGAGCTGACCTCACTGTGTCCATCTGGGGCTTCTGAATTATAAGAGGAAAAGAGGAATGATACTTTGGCAACTGAGTCAGGATGAGAAAAGAGGCCAGGATCAGTTCCTCTGAGGCATCAGACAGTAAGGAAGAGGGAGAAAAAGAAAAGAAGGAGAGAAAGAAGGGATACAGAGGAAAAAGAAATAAATCAAAAGCATGAAAAGCATGGCTGGTTTTACTCAGAACACACTTTACTGGAAATGGTTCAAACAAAAAAGGAGGATGACTTTCCTAGCAAGACCTCCCTATATAAACAACCTGTACGGTTGTCACAGGGAAATCTTGTCATCCCAAACTAGTGTTGTAATTCTGGCTGGGAAGGAGCATGATTCACAAGGTCAGTGGAGAGCAGAAAGACTGCAGCTCTCTAATGCTTTGCCTACGGTGCACTTTTTAGCAGCAACATACTTGCCCTGAGCTATGACTCTAACCTTCTTACCTGCATTTTTATGCTCATACCTGGTATCATCTGTTCCAGACCTTCTTGAAACATCTCAGTCTTTTTCAAACTACATTTTCCTTCAGTTAACTTAAAGGTTACGCTTATCTTGATGGCTGAGGTATCTTCAAGGAGAAATAACGGCATGTTATTATCAAAAATTACTAGGAAGTTTGGATAAGCCTAATGTCATATCATAATGACGACTTCAAAAATGTTGATATAAAGTAAAAAGTGGTCATCACAGGAGACCAAGAGAGATGACAGCCTCTTTCTGTTGTGAAGCTGGTTCAAAACTAGAATTGGAGCAAAGTATTTTGTTTTGTTTTTTAAACTGAGATCAAGTCCAGGTCTGCTACTGTGTAAACCAAGTGAAGGCTGGTTGAAATCAAAGAAAATACTTTTAAACCGATTAAAAATAATCAGTTTAAAAACTGTCTTATTTTTATATAAAACAGAACTTTTATCCATTTAGTTTCAAATGCCTTCTAAACTTTGCTGTCCGATATCTCAACCTATAATATATACACACACACACAGTTTGTTGCCAGCGGTCTAATTGGGTATCTGAAAACAAGCATGACACTCCAAGACCCAGCAGTTCATTTCACTGCTGATTCTTTTCACCTTTCTTGTTTTTAAGTCTTAGTTTAAGTGATGCTGATGGAGCAGTACAAAGAATATCAGAATTTCCTGCTGTAATCACAAAGCGTATTCATTTATAAAAGAAGAAAAACAGTAAGCAACACAGAAAGGAAAAACAGGCAGAAAGTTACAGTACACCCCTATCAGTCACCTATTAAAATAAATCAGACAAATTGTGCAACAGGTAAATCTAGTAATTACCCAGCCAAGTGGATGCATTTGTATTTTGCTGCTTTTTCTTAAGCTGAGAAGAGCTGCCACAGGTAAGGGTGTAGGCATCTTGTGTTCCTAACAGACAGACCATACATACAGTAAAGACACAAGCTCTATGCAGAGAGCGTGATATACAAGACTGTTTAAAATTTACTGATCTGATTCATCCTCTCCACATTTTTCAGTTGTGATACCCATCAAACACTGCAAATGAGTTGGTCTCTTTCTGTGCCGCAGAAGGGCTCTGGAGGGAAAGCAGCCCGTGTCCTGTGGCAAGCATGCATGGCCGCGCACCGCCTCCGGCCCACACAAGCCTGGAATGTCTTCCCCGAGCCAATTACGGAATGGCCCACGGAGCACAGAGAATCCTGCCCTGTCCCCTCCAGCTTTAAAAAAGCCGGTTGTCAGGAGAAGGCAATCTGAGGGTAAAGTGGCTATAAAAGGCAGGGAAAGGGGGCTTCAGGGGTCACTGACAGGCATATAGCGCTTCATCTACAGTGAAAGAGGAAAGGCCTCTGTTGATCACCTCCTTCTTGAGGCTTCCAGAGGGTTATAGGAGGTTTGCTACTCTTATGCTTTCTACACAGTCACATGCTGGATTTTGTTCTTCTTGACTTACCAGAAACTACCTGGACATCCGACGAGCAGCTTAAGAAGCATCTATCGCTCCCACCACTCTTAATGCAGTGCAGCAATACTTTGGGTGACATATTATCAGGCAGGGGCTCCTTTATCTCTAAACAGGATAAAACAAACACTCACGGGAAAAGTAAAACCATCTGCGTACACTCTATTCAGAAACCAGCGTGCAGCTGCTAATATAGCTATAATCAGGGAGAACCCATGCAATTCTATATAGAATTAATTCTGTATGGAGGAAAGAGGGAAGGCAGAAGAAAAATCATAGGAGGGCCACACAACCTAAGTCATTTTCTTTCAGGTAAAGTTATCATCAGTAAATTTTCTCATGCAGGGAAACAAAGGAAAATAGAAAGAGGAGCTAGATAAAAAGCACAGGAAAGAAAGCATCAAAACCCCTCAAAGTATCTCCTGTTTTTTGTTTGATTGTTTGGTTTTGTTTTGTTTGCTTGTTTCTTACCAGTTTCAAATTCAGTATCATCAAGCCTCATAAAACAGTAAAGTAGAATACAGGGAATGATGATCCATGCCACTTCACTGGAGAGATCAAGATTTTCAGATTTGACCATAACTGCATGGCTGTCAGACACATCAGATGTAGAAAAACATACTTGCTATGCACCTTACCAACACAATCCTTTTTATTCCAGTGCAATTTGTAGTTAGAGTGACACAGGCATTCATAGTCTCCTGCTGTATTAACACATATCTGTTGGCAACCACCGTTGTTGATGCTACATTCATTAATATCTATAGAGGAAAGGTAAAAATACTCTTTAAATAATTCTTGATGAAGTTCTGAATTCCAGCAAAGACCACAAGATAACCATATGCATGAATGCTGTTTAGTGTGATTTGGGAAAAACTCTGGAGAATCCATCTGCAATCCCCCCTTGAGATAGTTATGCTTTCCTGGAAATTCTTTGCTAAATGTCAAAACAGCTCATGCATTGCAGGAGGGGGAGATGGCACATACCAGAAACTACAATACACTATATTCCTTTCCTGAAGTCATGTTTGCTGGTACAGAATATACCTGACACGATGCCACCCCAAACTCTGCTACAACAGAAAAGCACGCAGTTCTCTCCTTTACTACTTTAGGAGGTCTTTGGGACCTTTGCCTGAATTTCCGTTTTAAAGGCTTGTAAGCAGAAGCACAAAGTCCAGCTGGGAGCCAAGCCCTAGTGGTACCACTGGGGTCGATCCTGGGGCCAAAGCTGTTCAATGCCTTCAGCAACTCCTACCTGACGGAACAGAGGGTGCTCTCAAGAAGTCTGCTCTGCCAGAAGCACTCACCAGCACGGCCTAGAGCATCTCTTCAACTCACCTCCACAATGTGTGAAGCCATAGAGGGCATATCCTTTGTTGCAAGTACATTCAAAGGTGCCTGGATGATTGATGCACGTGTGGTCGCATGTCCGCTCAAAAGAACATTCATCAATGTCTGCAAGTTTTAAAGGGACACATGAGTATCTTGGGGACTGTCAAGGCAGGACTTCCCAGCTAAAGACAGCACTTTCCACATAGCCAAGCTGGATGCAGAGATGCACAGATTTATGTAAACTAAGTAAATTGTCTAGCATAACAAAACAACTTTTAAGAAAAGAGTTAGTTTGCCAAACAAGCTATTTTTTTTGCAAATCTGAAAATTGATGTGATATTTTTAATGATTACATTTAAAATAAATTTTTTCTCTTATGAGAGAAAAAAACATGCCATCAGAAAGCAGTTTCTTAAAACAATATTTAAGTAAGGTCTGCAGGAAATAGATTTACAAAAACGCAACAACAAAAACCAGCCAACTGAACAAAAACCCCATACCTTCGTTTTTTCCCCATCAAAAACATGGTGCCAAATTTCTAACCCAACAATAATATGCAGTGTCTGAGCAAGTCTGCTGAAAAGCACTCCTTCCTGAGATACACCTAAAAACAGAGGACTGGAATAATTTGGTGATTTTTTCCCATTAATATAACACACTGCATACTTCAATGCTGTGTCTAAAACCTGCTGAAATAGCTGTTTCTACTAGTGTTTTTTTTTAAGGCATTATAGTCATTTTACATACATCATGTTTGTAAAGTATAATTAGTATAACAAGCTGATCTTCATCTTGCTGAACTGAATGGTGAAATGATGAAATTCCCATTATTTTCTCCCTAAGTGTTTATTACTCTGACAGTCCTTCTCAGTCTGATTCAAAAGGAATGAGAAAGCAAACACCAGGTGAAATTTCTTATGTTAAATCAGTTCAACTTTCTGAAATTCACCAGTAAATGTCAGCTGACTGTCTAGCAGATTCGCTTGCCCAAGTGACTGACCAGCTGTATGTTGTTACATACTAGAGCTCTGACAAAACCACAAAGATCATGTTGATAATTAGTGTACTTGAACAGCCTAAACAAGTTTGCTCTCTCTGTATGTACAAATCATTATATGGAAAACCAAATATGCTTTGTAAGCCTTATGGGGAAATCCATGTCATCTTAAATACCAAATGTTTCTGCAGTGTTTCATGGAGTAGTGAATCTAGGCCTATAATTTCATAAATCACATTATATAAATAAAATATACATAATTTATATATCTATTCTAATAATAAATCCACGTCTTTTAAGCGTCCCATTAAAAAAAAAGCAATTTCACTGCAAATGGTGAAATAGTCAATAAGACAGAGAGATAATGTCGCTATTTCTCCCTGTAAGTTATTTTAGGATCATTAATAGACTTTACTTTAGGATCATAATGGAAAAAAAAATGTCATCCTCTTAAAGAGCTTTCGAGCATGATGCTTTTCATCCTCTTAAAGAGCTTTCTAGCATGATGCTATCTGTATTGCCTCCAGATAAGAGTTTACTGTGTCAATGAAACATACCTCGTACCATAGTGTCAAGCCAACCTAATTTACTCCACAGCTGCTTTAGAAAAATAAATAAAATGAAGCATGGAAATTATTCTGGAGTCCATTATCACTTCATCATCGTAATAGGTATCCAAGCCAAGCTGATTTGTCCTATTTTTATTGTCTCCCCAGTGCACATACCTTGACAAGATTTCTCATCTGTTAATAATTTAAATCCTTTTCTGCAGCTGCAATCAAAACTGCCAACAGTGTTTTTACAGAAATGATCGCAGCCTCCGTTATTGGACTGGCATTCATCAATATCTGTAACAAAAGCAGCATTTCAGCAAGTTGACAGAGTACATTCAAGACAGTTTCATTGCCAGATCCAGAAGACTGTCACGTCCAATTGCTTGGAGAAAGGAAACCTAGCAAGACAGCTAGGAAGTTCACATCCAGCTCCAAGAATGACCTCGCCCATTCAGTCCCATGACAGTGCTTCCTTTGCTTTCTTTTAACATATACTGCTGTCCACAACATTTGGGCAAATATATTCATAGAAGAATATCTACCTAAACTCTGTTTGGAAATACATTGACTTTCAACAAGTCAGGCATGGAGATTCCAACATTTTTTGCCTGGCAGAACTGCCTAACATCTAATTATTGAACAACACGCTAACTTACCACCTCACAGTCCCTTTGCTCATTTCCAACACTCTAATCATCCTTAGAGCTGCTTGGACCAGTATAGATAATTCCACTCATACTTCCATGTTTGCACCCTCATGTTCACTTACAAACTTCTGTAATACTCAGCTGCATGTGGGAAGTAAAAACACTATAGGACTGCATACCTACAAAGCTGTGTAAGTCTATGTCTGCCACTACTCACCTCTGCCACGTGCTGCCCTCTTACCAGCTTCCCCAAAACGAGGCCATGACAGGGAAATGGGAAGGGGCAGAGCAGCAGAGATTCTCTGTGTACAATGCATTTGATACAGCAGAAGGTCCTTACAAGGCCATGGTGCAGCCTGTTCTGGTTGCAGCACACTCATATCTCATCACGCACCCCAGCTTCTCTCAGGGCACTGGTGATAAATGCACTTACAGCAAGGTGTTGCTACGTGCTTGTCCACAAGCACAAAACTCACCTTTACACGTCTTGCCATCAAACTGTAGTGCGAATCCAACAGGACAGCTGCAGTGAACTCCGGTCGACGTATCTTTACAAGTACGATCACAGCCACCGTTATTTACGGCACATGTTTCTAGCAGACAAAACATGACTAAAGTTTGCTCAGGAATATCATAAGGGAAACAATAAATATCATATGATACAAGGCAGGCTTCCAGGCATAATGGTATTTGGCCACATTGAACCTAGCACACATGAGCAAATACTGAATATATGTGTTGGCAAAATCCCTCCCTCAGCTATTTCCATTTTTTGGTGGAAACTTTACAAGTTTGCACATTCTCTCTGGATACTCTTGTCCTTAAGCGCAAACCAAATATTCCCACCTTCCTGATGATGAATGTTACTCTATCCCCTTAGGCCCATTCTCAATCCTGATCTGTTCTTCTGACACTTCCTATCAGTTCTTAAACAGCTTACTACACTCAGCATTACTAAACCAGGTATCTTAAATTCTTTCCTGCCCACCATTGCACGGTACCTGTGCTCTCATTGGGAGTCACATCCACATGGGATCATCCTTCAGACTTGTAGTCCAGATGCCATCTTAAATTCAAAGATTCTTCTATCTTCCTGTACACAAACTGTCTAAATCCTGACAAACCCCTCCAGGGAACCCTAAAATGCAGCCCTTCCTCTCCAATCAAACAGAAATAGCTCACACTTTGGCATTCACCCTCTTGTGCCTCAGTCAGTCTAACAACCATTCCTCTGGCTGGACAAACACAACTTTATCCAGTATGTATTGACTTTAAAAGCTGCTATAAAGTTAAAGATCATTGTCTTTTTGATTTTTTTTTAAATCCTCTCTTTGTATTTCTCTTTTGTTGATTTGTTCTCTACTTCACGAAGCATATGCTACTTATTCTCAAGTTCCGAGACTTGCAGGTTTATTCCATGTTTCTCTGTCATCTCATATTCAATATTGGGGGACTGCATCCAATCTCCATTTGAAGAGACAGTGCCTCAACTTTCTTCCTTCCTCCCCACTCCTTTGTTTTTTTTTTTTTTTTTTTTTTTTTTTTTTTTTTTTTTTTTTTAGGACACAAAAACTTAATGCTCTTGAAAATGAGACCATTGGGTTTAGGTGTGTAAATAGAGATTTAGCAGCCTGGTGCTAGGCCTATACTTTGGGCATTTTCTTCCTCAGCCTCTATGCCCTCTGCCCCTCCTGCGGTAAGCACAGTAAGTCACCCTGAGTAAGGGCTTTTGAGAGAAAAATACCCACTGATCCAGCTGCCCTGAGACCACAGCGATCTGCTTCTCATGCCAGTGTTTTCGCAGCAATAACAGACCCTGGCATTCTGACACAGATGAGAAAAGCCCAGCGAGGAATGGAACGGTCATGCATCCTAACATGCCTCTCCAAATACAGCCAGTCATTGGGCCTAATTCTCCTCTTCCATGCAGAAGTAAACTTTCAGCTGAAGAAAAGCAGCTAAAACCCTGCATCCCTCACCACTGCTTGGCCACAGCAGGTGTTCACAGGGGGTGCTACTGCATTCCCCAGAAACATGTGGTACTTTGAATGTAAATTCATAACATTTTATATTGACTGCCACAAACAACTGATATGGCTTCTTAGACATTTTAGAATAATGTTTGTTATTTAAAAGGAAGCAGTGCACCTCTCAGGCAGAATTCAGCCCAGAGCCATGCAGACTACATTAAAAAGTAATTCTTCAATACAGACGGTTTTAGCAAACAACAAAATTATTTCAGATAGGCACTTTTACCCATGAGCAATCGTCGCTTTACCCTCTTGTCCACATCAGCTCCTGCTGTGGTGTTACCCTCAGAAATTTCAAGGGCAGCCTCCTCCCTCTCTGTAAGACAGACAGAAGGAGCAAATGGGTAAAGGTGCCCTGACAAACCTCATCTGACGTCCATGGAAGACAAAGGAAGAGATGGGAGAAAAAGCATAAAAACCCTTCAGTCAACTCCTTCAGTCAAAGTCATCAGAACATTTTGCTTTCATTTGCTTCTTAAATTATGTGTTTGCCTCAGTATTCTTAAGCCTGACAAAGCAGAAAATATACTCCAGATGTGGTGAAGAGCAGCAAACTAAAAGAACAGCCATGAATTGCTATGAAAGAGAACAATCTTAATCTAGCACAGACTAATGCAAGGACGGGCCAGTTATGCCTGAGCATTGATTTCCATCAGCAGGCAACACACACTGACAGAGACTGGAAGTTGCTGGAAATTGTAAGTCTTAACTTTTTTCTGAAGTGCTGAGTTTAATACAGGCACTGCTTGGTTACACGCTCTGGCCTGTGTTATAGAAGAAACTAATTCTAAAGTATCCTAGAGAACGGAATCTTCTCTGGTCAGAGAGACCAGCTCCAATTATAGGCAACAGTAGCACTAGGTAGCTACTTTTACAAAGAAATAGTTTTCCTTCAAGACCAGAGCATCAGCGTAGCTCAAGCAGAGAGCAGCTCCTGATGTAGAGCTATCATCTCAAATTAACACAACTAGCTGTCCCCTGCCATAAGCCTTTAATATCTAGTTCTCTTTTGCATGCTCTGGACTAGCCCATCCAGTCATCAAAACTGTTCCCATCATCTTTATTGCTGGAGATGGTGACAGGAACCAAATGACACTTGTGGCTCCCTCAGCTCAGAGGGTACAAGCAGCATGACCACAGTCACCTTTCTTTTATGCAGACATCCTGTAGCAAGCACAGGTTGCCTGCACCCAGTGAACTCACTTGTGCCTGACAGGTTTTTAATCCTTTCTGCTCATGCTATTTATTAGGAGAAGGATCAATCGCATAAACACAGCAATGGCACAAAACTCTAGTCTTCTAGCTGTCAACAGAAAAGCACTGTATACTGACCCAGGCAGGTTTTCCCATCCACGTGCATGATGTACTTGGGGTGACATCCACAAACAGGTCCATTATCAGCATCATCACATGTATGTTGACAGCCACCATTTCCATGATTACATGTTACTAGGAAAAAAAATATATGTTACATCACACAAGTACTTCCATCGTCCTTGAAAGACCATGTCCAACTTAGTCCATGTTTGGCCATCCTAACACACCTCTTCTCTCAAGCACACTAGGGGACTGAAACAGTGCAGAATCATGGTGCAACTCCCAAATTACAGATACTTTTGCAACGGACAGATTGCTGCATTAGCGCCCTGCAAAGTTATTGGTTATAGTTTAATTCAAGTGTACACCATTCAGGTATCCTCCTGGTTTAACTGGCATACCAAATCCCATAGCACTGCAAATAGGACACTGTTTGTTCTGCTTGGGAAACCGTAAGAATATGCAGAGCGTTACATACAAATGCAGCTCCTCTGGTTCTTGGATAGCTCAAATCCCGGTCGGCACTCACAGGCAACCCCTCCTTTGGGTGTTTCTCTGCAGATGTGGGCACAGCCATGATCTTTGTTCATGCAGCTCATACCTTCTGCAAAACAGGACAAGCCCAAGACCATCTGCATCCTCAGCATCTCTGTGTGCAGGGAGCAGCCAGATAAAAACATCAGTCCCATATACACACAGCAAACAACCTGTTACTTCTGGGAAAGATCTATGGTGATGGTACAAAAAGCATCAGCTCAGACAGGTAATGTGAAAAGTCCAATCCTGCAAAGCCAGAGCCCTCCTCCTTGGCCTCATCAGCTCTGATCTTCTATATTCCCATGTGCTTTGATTGCAGGAACAAAATGAAGACCACTAAATTCATAGAGCACCCACATTCTAATCTGTGGGTTTTTTTTTTCTTCTCCATTTCATAACCTCACTATTTATAAAACCTCCTGATTCCTTTTATGATAACTACAAGTTGGTAGTTGGCAAGTTCCTTTTGCCTAAAGTGAAGTTCTTAACTCTCTGCTTAAAGAAGCTGCCACCCGGCATGGGACGTATAGGCCAAAGACTCAAAAATCATCCACATTTCAGTTACTAGAGCTACAGAGCAGAGCCCCATCAGTTACCAAGTGCTAGGCAGACACACAAGTTGTACCTATGCTGCATCTTAACTCTCTTTCGTTTGTACCTTTTCTTTTTTTCCTCTCTCAATTTCAACAAATACCTCTCAAAATAACCCTGTTATCACACAGTCTTGTATTTCTGCATGCTTTTCTAGTTAGCTAGAATGCAGTGCAAGCTTGTACACTACAGACACTCTCAGGTATATTGAGGGCACGTCCTTACCATTAAATGCACCAAGACTGAGCAGTTAGCTTTCACAAGACAACATGTTACACGAAAACATCCTTTCTTCTCGTCAAGAACACTCGATGCGAGTAGACTCAGGTGTGTTGTACTTAGGCTACAAAGATTTAACCCTCAGAAGGTCTGATACTGCATTAACCCAATTAACTTCCACTCAGTTGGGCAGAATCAGGATGGAGATGGAGAACAAACAGGGTGAGCACTCTGCTAAAAAGAGACCGCACAAACAATTTCACATCCTATATGTTTTTAAAAAGATGCTTAGCCCCTTTTGCAGCCCTGTTACTAACCGAAACAAAATGCTGTACTGGCAAGTAGAGGTCAGTTCCCCACCATTATTCCATGACACTTCGGCACGGCCCTTGCTCTGGGCACAGCTATTCTGGTCGCTCCAAGCACGGGCTACCACAGCACTCTCCCCATAGGAAGGAGCTTTAAGTAACAAAGGAATGGAAGCTGCAGAGCCCAGATTATTCTGCTCTAGTGGCTTCTTGATTCCTTTCCCACAGTGGGAACTCTGTGGAAGGCTCACAAGACAATGACACTTGAAATCCTGCAGCACACAGGCACAGCCCGAGGAGCCCACATGAAAGCTGGTGGCCATTATCACCCTGTCAGTCAAAGAATAGGGCAAGCCATAAAGATCACAAATTAGCCTTATTAACTCCAGTGTTTTTGTGACATTTCTGTCCTTAAACATGCAATATGATCTGGTCTGTTAATTCAGAGGTGTTAGGAAGCATTAAGAGAATTAGCAGCTTAGTTTCTGTTAACAAAGTTTTTTTTTTGTCTTTGTTGAGCTACCAAAGGGAAAACTGTTCAAAGCAGGTACTTTGGTAAAGTTCACTGACAACGCACAAATGGTTCAAATGCTGAATTGGGGATTGTTCAGTTTTGAGTGAGCAGGATTCAATCACTGCTCCACAGAAGGCTACATATCCACTTTTCGAAGCAGAGCCCATTGTAATAACAAAGCACACATTGCATTACCAGATACATGATGAAAAGCACCAAAGTCTAGCTGACCAAAGAGAGAGCATTTGAGAGGAGAGAGAGAGATTGCAGGTTCTAACATTTCCTGAGGAGCTGCTGCATGTTTCTAAAGGTGACAGAAGATTGCTTGCTTTCTTTCAGCCCCATTTTATAAGTTTGCTTTACAGAAATGTCAGTGTAACTGTAAGTGCTGCATAGCTGCAAACTCTTCAAGGACACAAAGTCTCCCAGGTCACTGTTCCAATGGCAGATTGTGTCCTGACCCAAACCACAAGCAAATGTTTTTTGGAACTCACCAGGCACTTCACAAGACACACAACTCACGCTGGAGATCCCGTCCTGCTGACACACAAGTCCCCTGAGAAGGACAAGTCTCTTGATGCAGCTTTCCCAGCCAAGAGAGCAGAGTGCAGATGCTGCCTGACCCAGCAATCAGCTGAGAGCTTTAAGGCTCCAGTTATGGCACCTCTGGACAGGTGCTCAGTAGGACAGAGGACAAGGACACAGGAGTTACCAGAGACCCTCAGAGGCAGGCCCTGCCATTACACATTAAAGCCAGGCATTGCGGAAGCGCTGCGGCCTTTCTGCATGCTCTCTACAGCCTCTGCAACTTTCTTTCTTTCTTTTTTTTTTTTTTTTTTTGCAAAAAGCTTTCTGATTACCTCTGTTCATCGCAGACCAAGGAGTTCAAGAGCAACAGCTGAGCGGGTGCCCTGTGTATCAGTCCATGCAGTAATTTCAAACGAGGCCTTCATTTTGCAGGTCCAAACACCCCTAGTGCCTCAGCCCAGAAAGTAAATAGCTATAACCCTGTGACATTTACCATGAGAGAAGCAAGATTTGTCATGAATAGCAATAGCAGCTGCAAGACATGGTGCATATTTAATAGTGAAAACTCCCATGTGTTCTTTTAAATGTTCATACTTTCTAATAGGCAGTGAGCTAAATAAACATGGAAGAAGCTGCACATGCACAGCGGACCTGCCGGCTGGAGCTGCAGCCTCCCAGAATAAATCTTCACACGTATAAAGTGAAGAAAAGCTAATGGAGACCAGGCAGCCAAGGAAAAATTAGGATTGCGCACAAGACACCAAGACCCCAAGTTGATGTGGTCTAAGGAGGGACTAGGCAGAACCATCAAACCTCCTCTGAGCATCTCTACATTTTGGACCTACACAATCAGATTAAGACCAACTTTAATTATTAAACTCACCTCTAATAGCTACCTGACCTTGAGTTCCGTGCCACAGATCTGAAATAGATGACAAAGAACCCGGAGAATCCGAGCAAATTGACTTGGAAAGGTAGGTGAGCCTGAGACAATGAGACACCAGCCACCAGGACAAATATAGTTGCTTCAAGCCTCCACATTTCTCCTATCTCAAGTACAGACCTATAGGCAAAGGTCAATATTTCTGACCAATAGAAAAGACCTCTCAAGCATGAACACATGCCTTCTCAACATAGTTGGAGGATAAGGAAGGACATATTCCTTTATATTATAGATAACAAGTGTAACTGTAAAGACGAATTGGATGTAGGTGCCAAATGTTGTTTAAATCAATGTTGTCAGGTCAGCAAAAGAGGACTAATAAAAGCTGTACTCTATGAGCGGGGCTTATATGCTGCAGAGGAAGGAGGAGACCTAGAGATGAGCTGGAAAGGGGACAAGACCAAAGTGAAGAGAGAGACAGAGTCATGAGACTGGTCTTAAAGCAAACCTGTCCAACCAAGAGAAGAAAAGACAGGGAGTCCAGTTGAATGTGAAGAGAGTTGTGGAAAAGGAAGAGGAACAGGGTAAGGACCTTAAAAATAAAAACAATACTTCTGTGTTTTGGCATCAAGATAGACTTTTTTTTCCTCATAAAAATACATTTGTATATATTTCTTAGAAGAACATGCATTTTATTTCCCTCTTGCTTTTGTTTAATAAAGAAAAAAAGCCTGAATTAAATGCACAAAACTTTTTTGCTCAAAAGCTGAACAGAGGTAGAAGTTCAAATGGGCAATTTAGGAAACAAAAAGCAAAGCAAGGAAATCCTTTTCTTCTAAAGTGAGGAGACTAGAGTGTACTTAAGAAGAGGCAAAGAAAAATTGGAAGCTTTTCCTCTCATAGCATCAGACAAGACAAAGAATTTGAGCAATTAACTTTTACCCTTAGAATCACCGTCCACAAATGCACATAACCAAATCCTACTGCTAGGAAGGAAGCATGAAAGGGAAAAGCATTGCCCCACCATTGCAGCCTGCTCGCTTATTGCCACTCCTGCCTCAGGTCCTGCAGTATCAACTTGGCCTGAGAAATCATAAAGCATCAGAGAGCGGGTCCCCAGGCAATCAAACCCAGCACCAGAGAGGCCAAGAATACAAATTCTTAATTCAAACAAAAGATCAATTCAGACATGTCAGATGACAAACACCTCAGCACATTCATCGCTGCATGGCCATATACGTCTCTAAACGTTGATCTTCTTACCATGGGGATTTTTAAAGTGAGATTTGTTTATTCATGCTCAGATTCCTCTTATAGTCATGCCAATGATAAGCCTTAGATTAAAGAAATTTTTTCAGCTTTAAATACTTCTTCGTATGATACTTGCCATACAGTTCAATGGACAACTCCCTGATCTGAGCAACCACTTTAAAGCATTCCCTAAGGGCCTCCAAAATAATTTTGCTCAACCCAATATCTAATTAGGCATCCAAAGCTCTCTGATCTCTCAAAGGTCGCTTCATAAAGGCTTTACTCAAAACAAAGAACCAGATTTGAATACCCTTGGGGTTGATATATAATAAATCTCTTCACTGAAAACTAAAGGGAGCACAGGGAGTCTGAAAGGTACCTGAAGGTACAGAAGGTTATTTCCTTGTCACTGAAGTCAATGGAGACAGTCAGAACTCACTGTTTTGCCATTCTCTGAATCAGAAGCTAGCCCAGCTACACAACAGAGCACACGAGAACACTGGGAGCACAGCAGTGCAGCTGTTAACAAAAGCACAACACTACAGACATTAGGGTGGGATCAAAGGGGCAGGAGGGATATGAAGAGTTTTTCAAGTCACTTAGAAGATACAGACACATAGTTACTTTTAAAATGAGGGAAAATTTCAAGATCTTTCCCCATCTGTAAGTAATCCAAACTAAAAATACTTTTGAAGCTGCTTGAGAGATTTTGCAAGATCCTGTGGAAAAACAACCACCCTGCTTTGTGCCCGGAGGAAAGCAGCCCATACCTTCTGAGCGGTGAATGCAGGTGTGCTGGTTGTCGCTGAGGAAGAACCCTTCCTTACAGCGGCATTCATAGCTCCCCACGGTGTTGACACAGACATGCTGGCAACCCCCGTTGTTGAACATGCATTCGTCTGTATCTGAGAGAGAGGGAGAGAGATCAGCTTTGTATTTGCCCCACCGCAATGGAAGTCACCACCAACAAATTAACACCAAGCCCTCATACTGGCAGAGGCTGCGCGACACGCAAAAGAGACACTTGCTCGGCATGTAGCTAGCCAGACACCCTGAGCCAGACTGCTTTTTTACCACCTTTGGAAGGGTATTTTTGTTGCTTCTTTTCCCCTCTTAACATAGTTCAGTGATGGGAAGGTGGAGGAGTAACACGGAGGGAGCCAGACGCAACTGCCCTGGCTGCCCCCTCCATGTAGGGGAGAAGGTACCCTGCCTTGCAGGGCACCTGGGCACGGCAGCCACAAGCCAGCAAGCACATTCACACGCAAGCCGAGCAGCCCTACGTGGCTCTGTGTCTCTGCAATACAAACTTGGGATTCAGACCCAGCCAAGCAACAAAAAGTGTTTCTTTTTGGAAGCTCTGCATTCTGAGGCTAAAATAGAACAGGAAAAATACCAACCTCAACATCAGTTTGGATTAAGTATAAAATACTCATCTTCTTTCTGACTTTCACTCTAGATACAAAGACATACCACATCTGTTCTGATGCTTGGGTTGATTTATTACCTTCCTCCCTCAGCTCTAGTTCATCACCACTTATGTTAAGGCTGCTGCTCTGCTGCCAACTGTAGTCAAGGACAAAATCAGAAATGCTTGAAATAGTTTAAGTAATGCTGATTTTGCAATATTCAGAACTTCACCAAAACCAGAGAACATAGGAAGTGTCTGCTTGCAACACAACCACCAAGAGTAATGAAGAGCAGAAAAATTTCAGCTTAGCCTCTGAATGACATATTCATCCCAGTCTCTAGTTCTTCTTAATTTTATCCCTTAGTAATGGCAGATTTTTGTAACCTCTACTAGCAAAGAATTTTCCTACCACAATTTTATGAGATGGCAATCTCAAAAGGAAGGAAAAATGCTTAGTACCTTAAAAGCACGATAAAAAACTGCTGAGGCAAAGAACAGAAGGTCTGTTGAGGTCTGAAGACCTCTGCTGAGGTCTCATTTGCAATTTCAGATGGAATGCCACATTTGCTCTCTCTTCTGTTCATTGTTTCTGTGCTAACAGTACATTAAATTAATGCTTACACATTTCTGGCATAAAACAGCTGATTTGAAAAGAAAAGAAATAAAAAAGAGAGAAAGCCTTTTGAGAAGCATAATATAGCATTCTAACAGATTTAATTTCTACGGAAGGCAATAAATAAGCCAATTGGATGCAAAAGAATGTGACCTACCATAGCAACAGAAGGGGCTCTCCATCACAGAAAAGTGGAGTATTTCAGAGCTCTACAGTGATGCGAATGTGCAAACAATCATGAATAAACAGCCACCATGAGTCTTCAGTGCTACAGATTTGAACTCCAGCAGATGTTTCTGTCTTGCAGCCCTTGGAAAGCTTACAGAACACCATCTCTTTCCAACAAGTAATTGTCTCTTTGGCTAAAACCCAGGCCCACAGCTGAGATCTTCAAAAATCAGGGTTAGAAGAGGGCAACCATGGTGTGAACAAAGTAAATAAACAGATTAAGAGAGGATGTGATCCAATTTGCTCTATGCCATAATATTTATTTAAAGTTTACATCACATCTCAAAATTAGCTGGTCAATGATAAAACTTCATTTTACTGTCAGCAACATTTTTATTTTTAAGTCTGCCATGCAATGTTGAGCAGCCTCATAGGAACAGGGCTACGTTATGTCTGTATCTGACTGCAAGCCCTTCAGCAGAATCACGTTCTAGAGAGGTTAGAGCATAGAAAGAGAAGACAGCCTTCGGTGGCATTGCAAGAGGCTCGTGCTTAGCCCTTCACGCTAACCTCAGCTGAACTCCGCTGTATGTTTACACAGAGAAATACAAGATCCCTTTTTCTAGTCTTTTGAAGCATCAGCAGATATTTTGCTCATCTCTGGGCACTTTTTCTAATTAAATACTTAGTGACTTCACCCTCTCTTCTGCTTGCACAATAGAACCTGCACACTGCTGCCCTAAGTGCTGGCCAGTACCACCACAGTAAAGACACAAGGCCTTGGCTACCCATTTCTAAAGATTTACACCTGGCTGGCCTGCAGTAGGAAAGAAACTATCAATGTCTCAAAAATAAACATGCAAAAACAAGCAACAGACAACCAAGCTTTGTCTTAGTCACTCAGTACTTTCATGCCCCTCTATGACATACAGCTAACTACAAGCCTCCTGTCAAAAAAGCTCTGACACAGTAAAAGTAAAAAGTCCACATGTTTTAGATTTGAAAGATAAGATTTCTAAGATCAAAAACAAACCTGAGAGCTGACCTTAGAATTTGGAATGGAAAAATGCAATGATACCACATGTTCCTTTCTAGAAACATATTTAGCATAATAATAGGTAGCACTTCACACATTTTAATCTGAAGCACTTAGCACAAACTAGCACAATTATCCACACATTTTGCAGACCAAGAAAGAGATTCACTAAATAGCCACCCTTAGATGGCACATCAGCACCTGAAAATCCTTAATTCCAAGCATCACCTCTTCTCTAGCTGAGTGGATTCCACACAGCCTTTTCCATGGATATGGTTAAGGGGTGAAGTCAGCACAGCTGCTCACAGTGTCCTGAGCACACTCCTTACCCAGGCAGTTGTGGCCATCGTGAGCCAACATGAAGCCATCATAGCAAGTGCAGCGGTAGTTCCCGGGGATGTTGAAACACTCGTGCACGCAGCCGCCGTTGAAGTCGTTATCACATTCATCAATGTCTGCAGGATAAGGCAAAAGTCAGTATGAGGGATGCCTGCTTGAGCATTATGGATAGGTTGTGATGCAAACACGTTAGCAGCAACTACTGGCTTAAATCACTATTGTCTTGCAAAAAGACCATACTTGATATATGATTTGGTGAATGTTTCGAAAAAGTAACAAAATTCCTCAAGATTCCCATTTAGTTTTATGTTATAATTTAAGCTTTCTAAAGCTGCAAAAACCAACAAACTAATTACTAGATCAAGTGATACTACTAGATGAAAGCAATGAAGTTAGCTCTCCTTTGCTTTTGCAAACCAGAAATCAATCAGGAGATGAGACAAAGAATATCTTGTTTAAAATCAACCTAGGAAATCATTCATCTTCCATATTTTAAACCATTGCTTTTATATTTCTTTCCTTGTCTTAACAGAAATGTTTAATGCCTTCACACATAACATCATGTACAACTTTAGTGATCCTATGTTGAAAATGCAACCACATGCTGAAGAGGATTCACAAATACACACACACACACACGAAGTGCGGCAAGAGGTGTTAATGAAAAAGCTCCTACATAAAGGCACACTACTCAATGGACAAAGGTAAAGTGACCCAATAAAAAGATGATGTGATAAAAGCACATAAAATAACAAACGGAAAAATTAATACCAGCAAGTCGTCATCATCATGTCTCATCAAGACAGTATTCCTTCACTTTAATAGAAAGCTCACACAAATGTGTCATATAAGCAACTGACCTACGGAACTTGCTGCTTCAAGATATCATTCATACCAAAAATCTTCATTAAAAATAAATAAAGTTCTACTTGGCAGAAAACAGTATCACTCACATGGGCATACTAGAATATTTCTTCCCCCTCCTCATTCTACTAATCAGATTTTAGTAACAAATAAAATAAAAAATAAAACCTACAGCTGTTTTGACCTTGTAAGTTAACCCCTGTGTTCCTTCAGCAAACAGTTACATTTTGAGCAGCTGCCAGCCCTGAACCTTTACTTATACCTGTCATACTTATTAAGGGGGAATTGGCAAGAAACAACCAAGGACTATGGTAAAGCATCAAATTTCCAGAAATCAAATGTCAAAAATAGAATTTCTGGTACTAGACCAACTACATGCAACTAGACATGGATGGGCACCCATCTGTTTTAACATAACTGGTCAAGTGAGGAATCCTTGGTGCTGACCAGGACTTTTCAAGCCCAGGAGCATGTATGAACCTCCTCCATCACTTACGGAAATGAGATTTTTGTGCCAGACTTCCTGGCTGGCATTTGTGCTCTGCTTAGAGAGGGCAGAAACCGCCCTCCACTCAGACGGAACTTTGGCTTGCTGACTGTATCAGTGCTACAAAGCACTTCAGGCCCTTCCAGGAAGGAAAGGAGAGCCACAGTTCCTGGCAGAGCATCGTGTTTGCGTCACTTTACCTTCACATTTCTTCCCTTCGCCAGTGTAACCCACTTTGCACATGCACTTGTAGAGCTTCAGGGTGTTTTGGCAAATAGCATCTGGATGACAGTCATCAAGTCCAAGGGCACACTCATCCACATCTGCGAAAAGACACCAGACTCAGAAGGGACATGAGCCAGGGCAAAGCAGGAATGCCCGGGCGCACAGCTGACAAGGTGCTGCGAGGCCCCGCACGCACGCAAAGCTCTGTTAATCTTTACGGGTAACAAAACCAGTCAAGTGAAAAGTTCTTGACACAGTCATGATGTAAGGAAACATGATGGCTTTTAAACTAGCTAGAGAGTTTACAGAAATGTACTTTCAACATCACTACCTTCCCCAATACGTTAAAAACTGACTTACCGTTAAACAGATGGTTAAATAATTAATAATTCCATTTTCAACATTAAGATAGCATCAGATGAGCAACACTGCCAAATCAGTTGGCCAGCCATCACCGTACACAACATATTGAAGTAAAATATCCAGTTGGAAACTCCAGAGTAGAGGAAGTGAGAAGAAAGAGAAACACCAACAGGAGGAGGTCCTGGAGATGAAGAAGTGCAGACAGAAAAAGGAGTTATAGGTAGCAGAAGACATCAATAGGAGCTTCTTATGCAGAGAAGGGTTCAGAGACAGAAAGAGGAAGACTTCCAGTGACTAGTTAAGAAGAAAAGTTGCAGAAGAAATACCTGTATCAATTAAAAAAAAAAAAAAGTGCTGAAGTGACAAAGTGAAATGAAGAGGTATCAGCAGAAGGTGACTACTGAAGTAGTCAACGTTTTTATTTTATTCTATTTATTTATTTATTTATTTTGGTGGGATCACTTTCTAACTAGGAATTTCAGCCAGCATCTCTCCCATTTACAATCACAGCATTCATTTCTTTTTCCATGTGCAATCACAAAACCTGCCTGTAGGTACCGCACCGGTTGCCAGCTTCGGAAAGTATTCAGATAGCTTGAACTCCTCAGGGGCCTGGCAGCAGGCAGCACGGCCAGCTGCCAGTGCTATGAAAGCAGCAGCATTTTCCTGATGCTCAGGTGCCTGCAGAAGTGACCACTGTGATGGGGGCCTGTAGACATAGCTTCAAGAAAATAAGGGGGAAAGGAAAAGCCACCTGGCAGAATGTGCCTCTCGAGAAAAAATGGGCATTAGAAGGGACAGCGAGCTGAGGGGGTGTCACCTAGGGAGGGTGCAGGGAATTGCCGAGGGGTCTCCAGCTGGCAGGATTCAGGGGAATGGGGCAGGAAGAAAGGACAGGTGGGGGAGGAAGGAAACATCATGTGGAAGGCAGCATTACCTGCACCCGTGCAGCCTTTGTAGCCTGGCAGAGCGGCCTCCCCTGCCCGGCCTGGGGAGGAGGAGGCTCCTGCCCACAGCGAGGCTGCCCCAGGCAAGGAGCCCGGGAAGGGGCAAGGAGCCCGGGAAGGGGCAAGGAGCCCGGGAAGGGGCAAGGAGCCCGGGAAGGGGCAAGGAGCCCGGGAAGGGGGCTCTGCCAGCGCCACGCACAGCGCACGGGCTGGGTTCGGCTTGGTGCCTGTCCTGCAGCTGCAACTTACTACTTTTTACATGAAATTCTTGTGATCCACAGCGCGTGGCAAAGAACAGCGAACAGTTAACGCGTACAGAAGCGTGCGCTGGGACACGTGGGAAGAGAGGAAACGCCCCCACAGGGACAGTAGCCTGAGCTGAGGAAAGACCCTGGGGAAGGGAGACCGTGAGCAAACATTGCAGCTTTAAACTTGGCAGCGAGGCCGATGCGGAGGAGGCTGCAGGAGAAGTTACTGGGTTTATTCCTCGGTGACCGAGCGCCGTTTAAGCCCCGATATACGCAGAGTTAGATTAAGCCCTGCTACACGCAGAGTTTATGTCCCCGCCGCCTGTGCGGAGGTGAGACGTTCACCAGCTGCCCTGCCTCGGGCTCAGCCCGCTCGGGAGGCGGCCCAGGTAGGAGCCAGCGCTCAAAAGCCATCGGAGATGCCCGCGCTCCCGTTCCCCCAGCTAACGGCCGCTGCTCCTCAACGGCCGCCGTTCCCCAACGGCCGCCACCACCTCACCGGCTGCTCCCCCACTTCCAAAGGCCGCTGCTCCTCAACGGCCGCCACCACCTCCAACGGTCACTGTTCCCCAACAGCCGCCAGCACCTCGTCGGCAGCTCCCCCACTGCCAACGGCCGCTGCTCCTCAACGGCTACTGCTCTCCCAACTCCCAACGGCCGCTGCTCCCCAACGGCCGCCAGGGCACAAGGGCTCCCCCGCGCTGCCTCCAACCCCCGGGCGCCGCCGCCGCGGCGCCTCCGGAGCCCCCCGCGCCGCTCCGGCTGCGGCTCCGCAAGCGCGGCCGCTGTCCAGGGCTGAAGGGGCGGCCCTCGGTCACTCGCTCACTCACCGGCGAGGGGCAGGGCGGCCGCGGCGGCGCCCGGCGCGGGCAGCAGCAGGAGCAGCAGCGGCAGCGCCC